AAAATGGTTTGGGGGAGGAGAGTAAGAACAGGAAAAGGCCATGGGTAGCAGCTGAAAGGAGAGAGGGAAGGGGTTGGGAAGACTTTTGACAGGGCAACTACTCTTTGGAAAAATCACTATTCTCACAAATCTACTTCATTTCAAGACTATGTTCTGATGGTAAACTGGTAGAAACTCAGAGCTTTACAAATGGTTTGTAACCTTTTCCAGACCAATGACTTTTCATGGTGGTCTTCAGAACTGTGTTAGCAGGGCATGATGGGGTTTTGAAATCATTCTGGTGAGAACTTCACTGTGATGAGGGAGCCAAGATTTATGAGATTTATTCAGGATATGGCTGGCTCAAATCTGCCCTGATTGTCTAATGAGGTATTCACACAACTGGCTCTTGCAGTAAATGAAACAAGCAACAAACTTTGGTATTATTTGTTCATTCAAATTCCTTTTACATATCAATAAGATCCACATGAAGCTCTAATAATATTCAATGGCAAAGATATATAAAAATTTGGAAAATACCAAAGGAGGCAAATACTTTTTCAGAGAACTGTATGTTAGCATTAAAGTGTTATTAATTCAGGGCCAATAGAATTAATTTGTCCAAAGATACTGTGCTTGGAAAAAAAGGAAATTAAATATAATCCTGAGTTCTTAAAAAAAATAAATGATTTAGAGAAATTTAATTTAAAAAATTAACAAGTGCTAATGTCTTAATTATGTACTTGTAAGTCCTCCTTGGAAAGTCAATATGGATTTAAAGATGTCTCTTGGTAATCTCCTATTCTGAGTATATGCCATCAAGTTGGTGTTGACTCTTAGCAACCACATATATACATTTTCTCCAGGACAATCTGTACCCAACCTGGTCCTTCAGGTCTTTCAACAGTGTACCCATCTCCACTGTAACTGAGTCCATTCACCTTTTCATCCTCATTTTCTTTCTCCTTCCACCTTTCCAAACGTTAAGGACTTCTTAACAGAGCTAGGTCTTTGCATAATGTATCTGAAATAGGACAATTTGAAGTTGGATATTTGTGCCACGAGTGAGAACTCTGGGTTGATTTCTTTGATGATCCATTTGTTTGTTTTCTTGGCTATCCATACTATTCTCAGAAGTCTTCTCCAACACCAGAGTTCAAAAGCATCAATACTCTGTCATGATTCTTCGAAGTCCAACTTATGCTTTCATAGAGTGTCAAAAAAAACCCCTATTGCTTGCACAAATCTGATATTTGTAGCTATAGACACATCATGGCATCTGAATATCTTTTCCAAGGTCTTCATTACTACTCTACTAAATGCTAATCAGTAGCATATTTCTTGGCTGTTGTTTTCTTTGCTATTGGCAGTCAATCCCAAAAGGTACAAGCTATTTATCACTTCAATATCTTCATTGTCAATTCTAAGGCTGCATCTACTGTCATTAGTTCAGTCTTCTCTGGATTTAAACTTAATCCTATGTTTTTCACTGTGCTGCTTGACTTTCATTACTAGAGCTTCCAAATGATTTGCATTTTCAGCTATCAGAGTAGAGTCATCAGCATAATACAGGTTATTGATGTTTCTTCCTCCAGTTTTGAAACCATGTTCATTTTCTTCCAATCCAGCTTCCCTCAATATATATTCAGCATATAAATTGAATAAATAAGGAGAGAATATACAGCCTTGTCTAGTATCTCCTATCTCCTTATCTCTTATCTAGGCACTCATATGCTGTCCCTCATATGCAGCCTCTTTGAAGAATGCTATTTTACAAAATTCCTAGACTAATTCGAGGTTCAGACTGAAACCACTCTTTGTAGCTAACTCCATGGGAGTTTGCTAAATACAGCAGCAAAAGGATAAAGATGCTGTGGTTCTTCAGAATGAGTGGTCATACTGAGACTTAACTGTGTCAAAAGGTATGTAGGTAGCCCAATCATAGAATGAAAAGAATGGAACAGTTGCGTTCCTCTTTTCCCTCTGAGCCATAGATGATAATATCTGAGTTGAACATGCTTCTCCAAGGCTCATGTGGCATCCCTGTCTCATCATACAAGCGTTGGATAAAAACATTGGGAGCTGATAATGTGACATGAGCTTTCATTAAGTAGTAACATATAAAGTGAAAAGTAAATAACATGAGGGTGGTTTATATTCTCTTATGCACATTTTAGAATAATGCATGAGATGACTGTATTATGTAACTCCATGGAGTTGACAAGAGTGTCAACTACAAATCCCACCAGCAATGAATTTTAAAAACATGTGAAGGAGGCTTATGTGCATACATATTTACATACACAGACTTCTATGAGAGAAGGAATTATTCGTTGGGATTAAGAAGGATAGTACCCTAACCCAATGAGAACAGAGTGGTTACCCCAGTTTTTTGTTTCTTTTTTGCCACTCTCCACCTAATTGCATCTCTAGGATAATATCATTTACGCTTTTGGAGGGTTGCACAGAAGGCATGTGAGAGGCTGCAGCAGAAAGAGCAGGTGGAAAAGTCTCCAATTCTCTGGAAGAACCCTGCAGACCTCAATCACAGGGCCTCTCATTTTATTTCTTGTGACTGCAGCCCCCCCCCCCAAGTTCTGAACAAATGTTATATAGTATTTCACATTACATCTCATATACAAAATTATATTCCTTTGTTGCTATCAAAGAAGGATTTGAAAAAGCGAAAAGTTTCTTTTTGACCTTTGGCAATAGGATGAAGAGGAACGCAAAGGTTTATACGTATCCAAAATATTATACTAAACAGAAACATACTTGTGCTACATGAATGTGGAAAGGGATTTTTAAGATAGTTACTAAGGGTGTGCAAAATGTTTTGAATTCAAACCATTACCAAGCTGAAATGCCCCATTTTGAGATCAAACCAGTTGTTTTACAGTTGAAATGGTCTGTTTCAATCACTATGGAAGTGTTTTAATCTCATAAGAGTGATTTGAACTCAAAATAGAACAGTTTCAAGCTTGAAACACTTCCAGAATAATTAAA